GTTTCTCCAAAAGTGAGTTATTCTTCATAGATGGACGTTAGGTCTTAGTGGATATAGCAGCTACTATAGGCCAATCGGGGAAAAAAACAAGCCTCCCAGGTTTCAAACACTTTCTCTGATAGAGAAAGACATCAGCCATTAGCCATCAGCCATCACCTTTAGTAAGGTGCCCACAGAGCAATAAAATACTTTTGAGATGCTTGAGTTGTTCCAAGCCAGCCCTGCCAACCAACAGCGTTTGAACATTGGGGTGCTGTGCGGCCAATATCAACAGCAGCTGGGAAGCACATAATAACAACCTTATGCCTATGTGGCCAAACTAGAAATTTTTCGTTTTTATCTTTTCAGCACTTCTATACCTTTTCCATATATAATTCTTAAAGGCTTGACAAAAATCAGAAGCCTTATTACTGAAATAAAACTCGTGTTTATTTCCCCTCTGGCAGATTCTCAAGTGAAGTATTTGGTCCTGAGGATTTTCTCACATAACAGGGCTTCTTATAGGTCTTTTACCAGCAAGATTGATACAGTTTTAAAAATACTAAAGAGGCCATGGTCACATAATTCAGTATGTCATTTGCTATGCTTTCTAATGGTGGTCAATTGCCCAAGCGGTGTTAATGAGGCTAGGGTTGTGGACTCAATTCCAGGAGGGCCAGTTAGCTTCACTCTATTTGCTGGCCAAAGACCCTGGCCACTTCACTCTGGCCAAGAATTTCAAACCTTTGCTGGTTTAGCCATTTGTAAGGCAAGCCTGAGCCTGGTCACTCACTGAGATCTACCATGCTTGGAGACACATAAGTTAAGAGTCCACAGCTGATCAAGATAAGCTTTACCCATCTTGTTGGACTATACACAACACTGAATCTGTCTTCAATATCCCTTTCAGCTTCACCTCCTAATAACAGCAGTCATCTATTTGCTGAAAACACATTTCTTCGGTTAATCGCGCTCATGACTTTGGTCTGCCTTGACTTAGGCTCCACTTAGGGGAAGTATAAAAGGCAATGATTGGGGTGCCTGGGTGGCTCAGTCGGTTAAGCGTCTGACTTTGGCTCAGGTCGTGATCTTGCGGTCCGTGAGTTCGAGCCCTGCGTCGGGCTCTGTGCTGACAGCTCAGAGCCTGGAGCCTGCTTCAGATTCTGAGTCTCCCTCTCTCTGACCCTCCCCCATTCATGCTCTGTCTCTCTCTGTCTCAAAAACAAATAAACGTTAAAAAAATAAATAAATGAATAAAATAAAAGGCAATGATGGAAGAACTGTAGAGGTGAGGGAGCTGACCTCTGCTAGCCGCCATCTTTTTTGACACATTAACATATCCGTAAGTACTATCCATATATTGACTGAAGATTTATTTTTCCATTAGAAAAAAAAAAACCACCTTTCTGTTCCTTTTCTTCAGGTATTCAAGCATTTAAATTGTTAGCTCTGTTACTGGTGATAGGGTGAGAAAATACTGTCACCAGCCAAGCTCATGAACAGAAATCATTCTTAAAAGGACACCTGCTTTTGATTTGGTACCAACAGGGAAGGATGGCATACACACTTACAGAAGTCTTTTTTTTTTTAATGTTAAGAAATCATTATTATTAGTTCCCAAGATCTTTGCAATAAAACTACTAAATTGATGTATCTCTTTGGTCCAGTGAAATGGAAGCCATACCAAAAAAGCCTTGAATTCCTTTCTTCATTAGGGAGGGGACAGGTACAAGAAAACATTTTATTTTCTTGATGTTATCCATTTAGCTCTCATAAAAGTCACAGACATAGCAACACTTAACACAGGCAAGGATCCACAGCTAAGGATATACCTCCTGCAGCCAAACACATAGAAATGTCTCTTTTTTCCTGACACCTTAAGATTGGAAGATTACATAATAAGGTCAAAGTTAATACAACACCCTGGTGAAAGGCTCCTGAAACAAAACCACTGAAGGAGGGGCAGCTTCTGAGTGTTAGCAAAAGCCTGGGAGGCAGATCTTCTCCAAGAGGTGCATACAGGGAGATAATTCATCTCCTAGGTGTCTCCACAGGGACCAGTTTGTTGAAACAATAGATTAAGCCACCAAGCAGTAGGGTGGCTCATTTGCAATTACCTCCAGGTCAATGCCTGTTTAACCTCTGGAGCTTATTGTATAGCGCAAAGGTCAACATGAGATAGATGAGGATTTGAGTCCTGGATAAGACTCTACAATTCAAGGATTGCCTGACCCCAAGCAAGTGGTTTCAACTCTCAGAGCCTCTTTCATCTTCTGTAAAATGGGGGTTAAAATACCTGCTTCACTAGGTTATTTTAAGAATTAAATGACTTAGTGATATAAAATAGCGATTAAATGACTTAGTGTAAAAGTGCTCAGTGCAAAATCCTGAGATAGCTCTTGAAGATCGTCCCTTCCTCCTCCTCCTTTGTACTGGTTTCCAATGCCTGCCCTTCGGGTCTGTCTATGCTCCTGCCTCTCTTAAAGTTTCATTCTCATTTGACTTTTCCTGAGGCCTTAACTCCCCCCAAAAAGCCACAATGACCCTGATTTCAGGAAACAATTTCCTGCCCCAATAAGAAAACATTTTAGGCATGTCTCATGCATTGCAAGTTAACTGTGAACACCAATACTGCTTTTTGGTGTTTGTTTCCTAGGAAGTTTTATTCTGAGCTGTATTATGTCTGCATCTTTAATGAGAAATGTATTCTGTTGCTATGGCACATTGAAATTCATGCCTTCCTTTGGAAGGTGGAACTGTCAGTGCCCACCTGCCTCAGGTTTTCCCTAGGGCATTATGAGATTGAGATCTAGGGGATTATGAAAGTATAGTTAATCAGATAATTCTCACACTAAACTCCATGCCTTTGATTTCTAATTTCTGCATTTTAATTTTTCCTGCAGTTCAGAGGCACAGATTTATTGAAGCTGCTGCTAGCAACAATTTGCTCTGACCCGCTACAGTTTTAATAGTCCTGCTGAAATAGACGGGTTTATAGTGGGAAGGAAATGAATGGAGATTGGTGTCATTTATTTCAGGTGCCAGGGTAAGACCCACATTTCCGTAGGTAACAATTTAGGTAAAAAATGTTTCTTCTGGTTCTCGAGTATGTTTCTAAGGCCAACCCTGGGTTCAGTTTGTCTCTACAGGCTGTTCTGAGCAGATCTCATTTCCAGTATCTCTGAGCTGGTAAAATTTCCTTTAAAATGATTTAAGGAATTTAACAAAGCACAGCTTCTTTCTCACTACACTGCCAGGATGCACAATTTCCTGTTGGCATTCAGAACTCCACTGTCCTGGAATGTGAGCTCTACGTTTGAAATCCCTGTGCAATATGTCACTCCGGCTGACAAGTACGGCAGGACGCCCCCAGATTCTAATAAGAGCTGGGGAGACAGGCAGTGCTGCTGAGGAACCTTTTACTCTCACCTGAGATCCAAATAAAAGTCAGACTTTTTTTCTTAATATAATTTATTGTCAAGTTAGCTAACATACAGTGTATACAGTGTGCTCTTGGTTTGGGGGGTAGATTCCCGTGAATCATCGCTTCTATACAACACCGGGTGTTCATCCCAAACTCTACCTGCTACGTTCAATCTAGAATTGAAGAGGAAATAGCATTTGAGACCAGTGAGTCCATGGACCAGTAAAAATTGAGAGAAAATGTTCTGCAGTACCAGGAGATTGCTGGTTTTTTATGTTGCTGTTTGAGCACATTAAAAATCCAACTGCTGGGGTGCCTGGGTGGCTCAGTCAGTTAAGTATCTGCCTCTTGACTTCAGCTCTGGTCATGATCTCATGGTTTGTAAGTCCAAGCCCAGAGATGGGCTCTGCGCTGAAAGGGCAGAGCCTGCTTTGGATTTTCTCTCTCTCCCTTACTCTCTGCCCCTCCCCTGCTGGTGCTCTATCTCTCTCAAAAAATAAATAAATAAATAAACATGTAAAAAAATCCAACTGCTAATGCCCATGACCATTGTTTTATAAAAGATAAGGCCATTTTAACATACCAGTAGAAAGGACAAGTCTTAGAATTAAAAATAAACAAATTTGACTTTTTTAATAACTCACTACATAATGTGTGTGTGTCTCTCTCTCTCCTTCCCTCCTTCCTTTGCTCTGAAGGAGATGAAAACATCATCAGAGATCAGTACTGGTTTGAGAATCACCAATAAAGGCAATCTCATTTTAGGATGAGGAAACTGAGGCTCTCTGAGGTAAACTAAATTAATGAAAGCTGGGACTAAAGCCCAGATATCCTGGCTCCTCATCTAGTATTTATTTTCTCTGACTTCTTTGTAATGGAATTCAGGGTAATGGCCCAGAGGTACAGAAAGATCCCGGAGTATCTTCTTAATCATCAAATATAATTATGCTATCTTCTATCAAGTTGTGATATTAAGTGCTATGGTCTAATTCTTTTAAAAAGCAACAATACATGTGAGGAGATTCTCTAGTGACTAGTTAAAGAACTTGTTCCCTAAGGGATTATTCAGTAGTCTTTAAAGCCAATAACAACAAACAAATAAAAAAAAGAAAAAAGAAACCAGAAAGTTAAAATTGAGGTCACTCATAAAGATTCCTCATTAAACATCTATTATACATTTAAACAGAAGTTTGGGGACTGGTGGAGCCCATATTTTGTGGTGATTCTAGAATACCCTTCACAAAAGTAAAAGATTGATTCACTAAATTGCATGACTTACACACTGCATTTCTCATTTTCCATACCCTTCTTCTTCTTAGTTTCTACCTGTACATTCTAGTCTCTGGCCTCAAAGGTTAGGAGACACATCCTGAGCACTACATTTTCATTTTGGTCCTTGTTCTCCAAGTTGACCCTTGAGGTATTTCGCCCTGTTGATTAGTAACTATTGCTTGGGACTACTGACATCCTTGGGGCCCATTCTTGGGGAGTACCATCCTGGCTCTCCTTCTACGTCTCTGCCTCCCTTGACGACTTCCCTTCCTCATTCCGACATCAGACATCGACATTCCCTAAGATTCCATCCTTAGACTTTCATTCTCCATCAGCTCAATTTTTCTCCTCTCCTATGACTCCCACCTCACCCACCACCACTTCTAAGCCCACATCATTTTATCAACTCTTCCAAGTTCCAAAGTCACTTTCCTAACTACATGCTGAATATTTCCAACTGTGTGTCACCATTTCTTCAAACACAACAGGACTAGAACAGAATTCATTACACAAGTTAGGGCCTTCTCTACTAACCTTCCTTCTCCACACCACCTGACTTCTTCTCCTGACTTGTCTCTCTCTCCCTCTCTCTCCCTCCCCCCTCCCCCATCCCTGTTATAGGTACCATTCAGGAGCAATTCCTGGGAACAGCAACACCGGCAAGGGAACCAGCAGAAATGATGAGTGCCACTCGGTCAAGATACGAGGACACACTGCTTCTCCCTGTTGCACTGCCCCTCCTCTGGCCTCCAAACTGAGCTCGGTATTGGAAGCAACAAGTAACATCTCCAATAAAAAGTCACCTCTAAGTTGTCCAGACTTAAAACATTTAAAAGCAAAGACAGGATTCAGGAGTTAATGAAAGAAAAGGAGCTTTGCCGAGGACTTCCGGAGGAAGCTGTGATTCTTACTCAATGGGCAGCATATCTACCTGGATCAACAAATTTCACTCTCTTCATCAGGGAAACCTGTGCTTTGAGTCCTGCCACCAACACATATTAACTTTGTAAACTCAGGTAGTACAATTAACGTTGCCTTGCCTCCAGTTCCTTATATGCAAAATGAAAATAAAATGAATAAAAAAGTTAATAGGGTGGCTGAAGGATTGAAGGAGTCAATATCTGTAAAGCTTTTAGAATCATGATCGGTAATGAACAGATGCTGAGTTCATGTCTGGTTTCCCCAGAAGCAGACCCTGAAACAAGGATTTGGGAGATGATCCCTGGAAATACTTATAATGGGGAAGTGAGGCAGGGAAGGGAAGGGAAAGCCATCAAGAGGTAAGTTATCAAACCAGTTACCACTATGAGAAAGTGGAGCCTGATCTAATAAGCGAACTCTGGGAGCCCGTGAGGAACACCCACCTCAGAGTCACCCCCAGAATGATAAGGAAGCTGGGGTATTTTCATACCATCTCTAGTCAGTGGTTGAAGGCTGTTCACAGGGGTGTGACTTCTCTGGTCCTTCCACCTGCTCTGGCTGCCAGAGAAAGCCCTCAGGCATTTGGAAACCTGGCTGGCAAGTACCCCACAGTGGTAGGGCCCAAGGAGATACATGAGGACCTTGTCTGTGCTCAATAAATATACTGTCATCATCATCACTGAAGTCAGAAGGCCAAACAGATGAAAGCCAGGCTCTTCTTGCTGAAGCTGACTGGAGGGAGAAGGGATTATGGGCCCAGGATTTGGCACTGGGAAGCCAGTTCTCTCATCCTAGGTGACGTACCTGAATCACCCCTACGGAATCTCAGAGATCCACAGAGTAGTTTTTGATCACAGTTCATAGCCTACTACTGGGAATGAATGGAAGAAGGTAAAAATCCACTTCTATCCTCAAGGAACTGCAACTTAGTTTTAGACACAAACTATAAGCTTGGGACTATAACGAAATTGACAAAGGAGGTTAGGACTTACTAAGTGTCCAGTAAATTGGAGCGGAAGTTGTTTGGAGAAGTGAGATTGCAATTGGCTGGGACAATCAGAATAGGCTCCATTGATTGGATTACATAGGATTAAACTAAGCCTTATAGGATGATTAGTTTTCAATTAAAAGAACACAGCCATGGTAGAATTTCCCGGAGGTAGCAATAAACTGATTGAGTCCAAGAGTTTCCCTGATCTAGATGCTGGCTGTCAATGGTGAAGGCCTGGGGGCCAGGCCCCCTGCTTAACACAATCCCTCAGTTATCCTGCAATTGCAAAGTGATTTTGCTAGTGGTGATGCCCGTCTCCTAAAACTACCACTCCCAGGCAGATACAGCTTTCAATCTCTCAAATGCTTCACTGACCATGCATTTTAAACACTGTGTCTAATATCATAATAATAGCTACAACAACTTTGTGAGGTAGGTGTTTTTGTCACCATTTTAGAGGTGAGGAGGCTAAACTTGGATTGGCACCCTAGCGTATCTGATTTCAAATCTAGACCAAATCACTATTCTTTGATGCCTACGGTTCAAGCAAAGAAAAAGAGCTCTTAATTGCTTTAAATTTGGGGTCATCAAATCAGACCTTGCACACTGATCCCAAGCACTTGTATTTATAGGCTGTCTAGTCTCCCTTAGTGTCAACACAGCTATGAGAACTCTTTCTAAGGCTACATTTATCCCAGCAGCTGCTGCAAGCTTATGGAAAACAAATTGGGAAGGGACAAAAGGGAATAAATTGAAATCCATTTGAGTGACAGCTTTCTTACCGTGGCCAACAGATGGTGCATTTGTGGCATTCTTGGATCTCTAGGAGTGGAAGAATTCCTTGAGATCGGAGTTCAACCCCATTTCTGCAAAATTGCAACCCTTATTTAGTACCCAACATTCCATCTGTCCCCATTTGGCAGGTTTTTTTTAAATCAAAGGTATTCAGGGGCGCCTGGGTGGCGCAGTCGGTTGAGCGTCCGACTTCAGCCAGGTCACGATCTCGCGGTCCGTGAGTTCGAGCCCCGCGTCGGGCTCTGGGCTGAAGGCTCAGAGCCTGGAGCCTGTTTCTGATTCTGTGTCTCCCTCTCTCTCTGCCCCTCCCCCGTTCATGCTCTGTCTCTCTCTGTCCCAAAAATAAATAAACGTTGAAAAAAAAATTAAAAAAAAAATAAATAAATCAAAGGTATTCATTACTCGAAGCTTCCTTTTGCTATAACAGGTATGTTAGATACATTCATTCATTCCTAATAAGACAGCTTAGAGAGGTAGAGAGGGTAAAATATTATCCTTCATCTACATGTAAGAAAAGGGAGATGATCAATAATGACCCTTTAATTTGGTCTTTCCTTTTGCAGACACCCCGCTCCACCCACCCCAGTCAACATCCTCAGAGAAAAGGCTCTTCAAGATTCTGGAATTGATCACAGCAGATGCAGCCTTTGCTCAGGATTTTTTTAAGTGATGGCTCACCAATCCCTGAAACCAGAGGTGTTCTCCACGTCTCAGCAGATAACTCCATGACCAGGTGTTTAAAATCCTGGGGTAATATCGCATCATGATGAAAGGGATCAAATATGAAAAGAAGGCTGTGGAAGACATTTCCCAAATACTTCAGACCTTGTAGGATATTCTGGGCTCGGTGAGGCACTGGGCTCCCTGGGACCACCTGTGTATGTGGACGTGCTATTCCAAATTTAGAAGTGCATGAAGCTAGCAGGAGCTTGGGAAGTTAACATTGAAAATTTAAGGCCAGCTCCCTAAGGGACAGCAATTAGTCTCAATTGCCTGATGGTGACAATGCATGTTTCTCTAGAGGAATATACACAGTGATCCTTCCCTAAACTTATGATGATGATGATGATGATGATGATGATGATGATGATAGAAAAAGTAGCAGTAGCCAGCTAACACTTATTGTGTGCTAGGCACTCTTTGGCTGTTTATATATATTAAATCATTTAGACTGAGAGTAGTTCTACGCAGTCAGTATTATTCTTATTGTCTACATTTTACAAACCAGTTAGCTGAGACATAGAGTTCAAATTACTTGCCCAAGGTCACAAAGCTAATAAATGGTAGCATTTAAACTCAGGCCGTCTATATTAGTTACCCGTTACAGTGTAACAAATTATCCCAAAACTTGGTGACTTAAAACGATACTTATTATCTCATAGTTCTGTGATGCAGGAATCTGAATTTGGCTTAGCAAGATCTTCTGACTCAAGGTCTCTCACAGGCTGCATTCAAGATGTAAGCAAGGCAGCTAGTACCGAGGCTTTACGAGAGAAGACTCCACTCCCAACATCTCTTATATATTTACTGACAGGTTTCAGTTCTTGGTGGGTTGTCAGACTGATGCTTTAGCTCCTTTGTGAGGAGTTCCTTGCCCTGAGTTCCTTGCACATGGGCTTCTCCATAGGGAAGCTTACAACATGATTGCTTGCCTCATTAGAACAAGTAAACAAAAAGGTTCAGAGAGAGATTCAAAAGTGCTACCAAGATGGAAGTCACAGTTTCTTATAACCTAATCACAGAAGTGACATCCCATCACTGCCATATTCAGTTAATTAAAAGTGAGTCACCAAGTCCAACTCATACTCAGGAGTAGATAATACAAAAGTCGTGAATGCAGAGGGCAGGATCACTGGGGGCCATCTTAAAGGATGCCTCCCACACAGTCGGATATGACCTTAACCAAGAGAGGAGAGAGCTCACACATTTTCTCTATGGTTAAATTCAGAAGACCTCAATCTATCTCAACAAAGAGTATAAGAGTGTAGGGCTGGGGAAGTTCTAGCCCAGAGGCCAGCTCTAGCCAGGATCTAGAGTTAATTGGTTTCAAATCACTTGAGCCTCTAGAGTTATATTTCCTTCCCTGGAAATCTCTCATAGCTATGGCATTAACTCTAAGTGTGAGGAAAATGAGAGTTGTGAATCATAATTATTTTTTTAAATTCCTACTTTAAAGTTAGCAATGAGAACAGCTTACCTCAGGAAGTCACTCTTCCCTCCTCCCCCTCTTGTCCTTTGTCTTTCCCTCTATGATTTTGTATGTCTCCCTGTGGTATGTTTTGTATGTCTCCACTTTCATACTGGTCTCTCCTCCAGTCCTGTCCCACTGGACCAGCTTTCTCTTCCTAACTTCTTATTGCTCTGTACTTCTCTCTATCCTTGATCCTTCCCAGTCTCTAGGTTGTGTTTATATTTTAATTTATAAAAAGATTTTAGGGGACGCCTGGGTGGCGCAGTCGGTTAAGCATCCGACTTCAGCCAGGTCACGATCTCGCGGTCCGTTAGTTCGAGCCCCACGTCAGGCTCTGGACTGATGGCTCGGAGCCTGGAGCCTGTTTCCGATTCTGTGTCTCCCTCTCTCTCTGCCCCTCCCCCGTTCATGCTCTGTCTCTCTCTGTCCCAAAAATAAATAAACGTTGAAAAAAAAATTAAAAAAAAAAAAAAAAAAGGTTTTAGGATGGGGGGGGCGGCCCTGGGTGGCTCAGTCAGTTAAGCGTCCAGCTTCAGCTCAAGTCATGATCTCCCAGTCCATGGGTTCGAGCTCCACGTTGGGCTCAGTCCTGACAGCTCAGAGCCTGGAGCCTGCTTTGGATTCTCTGTCTCCCACTTTCTCTGCTCCTCCCCTGCTTGCGCTCTGTCTCTCTCTAAAATAAACATTTAAAAAATTTTTAATAAGAGAATTATAAAAAAAGTTTTTAGGAAGGAAGAGTCCATCAAACAAATTCACAATAAGGTGGTATGATGGTCAGTTTTTTGTGTCAACTTGCCTAGGTGATAGTACCCAGTTGTTTAATCAAACACTAATCCAGGGTGTTGTTGTGAAGGCATTTTGCAGATGTGACTGAGATCTACAATCAGTTGACTGTATGTAAAGGAGATTATCCTGGATAATCTGAGAAGGTCTGATGCAATCTGTTGAAACAGATTTCCTAGCAGAAGAAGAAATTTTGCCTGTGGTCTATAACACTAGCTCTTGTCTGAGAGTTTCCAGCTTTCTTGTCCTGACAGTGTGCCCTACAGATTTAGGACTTGCCTAGCTCCCACAAGTACATAAATCAATCTTTAAATGCATTTATATAAATATGTGTATATTTATTTATTTGAGTGCATGCACACATGCACAAGCAAGGGAAGGACAGAGGGAGAGAGAGAGAAGGAGAGAGAGAATCTTAAGCAGTCTTCATGCTCAGCAAGGAGCCCAACTGGGGGCTCAACCCTGGGATCATGACCTGAGCCAAAATTAAGAGTTGGACACTCAACTAACTGAGCGACCCAGGCACCCGTATGATATTTATTAATATAAATATATATGCGTATATATATGTATGTGCATATATGCATGTATGTGTGTATAAATTTAAATCTAAATCTAGATATGTAAAGAAATACAGAACATACTGATTCTTTTTGTCTGGCAGGATCCTGAATGACATAGGTGGGAATGTCCAAGAGTTCTGACAACGATCTTTATAGCAGTTGGGAGAGGGAAGTATAAAAGAATTGAATAGCTCAGAGAAGTGAATTTTCATGTTAAAAGAAGAATCGAGTAACTTTAAGAAATGAATTTTCAGAGGTACTTTTTTTTTCTAGATGAAAATTATGGATGTCCCTCAAGTAATACCATGCTGGCCACCGCTATGGCCTGAAATAGTCCTCAATAATATCCTCTTCAGACTTTTCCAGCCATTCTTCCTGTCCCATCAAAACTTAACTTGTCATGTTTTCCATTCTCTTAGGGAACTATTTGCTAGAAGTGTTCTATTATTCTGTTTGATTCACATTTATGTTCCTAGCTCTGAGTCTTGCACATTTATGCCACTTAATATAGGTTTATTTAAAGGATGATTGACGAGGGGTGCCTGGGTGGCTCAGTCAGTTAAGCATCCGACTTCAGCTCGGGTCATGATCTCACGGTCCGTGAGTTCAAGCCCCACGTTGGGCTCTGTGCTGATAGCTCAGAGCCTGGAGCCTATTTCAGATTCTGTGTCTCCCTCTCTCTGACCCTCCCCCATTCATGCTCTGTCTCTCTCTGTCTCAAAAATAAATAAACATTAAAAAAAAAAATTTTAAGGATGATTGATTGATGAATTTACATGTAAACAGGAGCATTCAATGTCTTTTTTTTTTTTCTTTATTTATATTTTAAAATTTTATTTTAATTCCAGCATGGTTGATGTACTGTGTTATATTAGTTTCAGGTGTATATTGAATCCCTTGGCCTAGGAAGGGTTAGTGAAAGGGAAATACTTTGAGGCAGGAGCACCTATACTTGATTCTTAAATCCTTTAACTTGGGTATCTGCCTAATTGGCTACACACAGTTATACTACATTTCTGTGCCTGTACCCAAACGTGGTCTCAGACAGACGCTAAGCCGTGCAAGCCACCTGTGCCCGTACTCTACATAAAGATCACTGATCTCAAAGTGTGGTCTGAGGACCCCTAGAGGGTCCCAAAATACTTTCACGGGGTCTGCTAGGTCCTCCTTTTCCAGCTACATAGCTGTATAAGACTGTATTTTTTCTTCATATACTTCAATCAAGACAACATATCACAACAGATTACAAACGAAGAAGCAGACACAAGAATCATGTTCTCTTCTACTAAGTCATCCATCCATTAGAGAGATTTGAAAAAATGTAAAACAATGCCATTTTTCTCACTAATTTGTAGTTACTTTTCATAAATATGTAGTTATTTTTCATAAAATATGCTACACGCAATGAGGATATTATTGTTACTTCAAAATAACTATAGATTTAATAAATAACTTTAAAATTCTATGTTTTAATTTCTAATATGATCATCAGACATCATCTACATAAACAAAAGCTCTTTGTGTCTTCAATTTTTAAGAGTGTGAGGAAGAATCTGGGGCACCTGGGTGGCTCAGTCAGTTAAGGGTCTGTCTTTAGCCGATGTCATGATCTCACAGTTTGTGAGTTTGAGCCCTGCATCAGTCTCTGTGCTGACAGCTTAGAGCCTGGAGAGGTTTCAGATTCTGTGTCTCCTTCTCTCTCTGCTCCCCCCAACCCTGCTCTCACTTTCTCTCTGTCTCTCTCAAAAATAAATAAAGTATCCAAAAAAGTTAAAAAAAAAAAAAAAGAGTATAAGGAATCCTAAAACCTTAAAAATGCTTAAGAAACTGTTGCTAAGGATCATTGATTATGTTTCTTCTGGACCATGAAGCACAATGTGCCTCTAGGGGTGACTGGTTGCCCTAGGAATTGGGAACAATTTAGAGTGACATGCAACCTCAAGTCTGTCCCATTTGCTAGTTGCCAAACCCACATCAGAGTTCATTTTCATATTCCTTATGATCTTCTACAGAGCCCAGCAGGACCATGAGCACACAAAACACACTCTGTAAAGTTTACTGACTGATTTTTATTAATCTTCAGTTCTGCAAGAAGTATTAATTTAGAATAAGGAGATATCTGCCACATCGCTCAAGAAGCGTACTGTCAATCTCAAGGGCTAGAACCCAAACAGTTTGGGAGACCTGGAGCCTGGG